ATGCTACAACGAACGAGAAACGCCGTCGGCTAGTCCACCTCTGCGATTGCAACTTATTAGCTTTCATACTGTGGACTGGTAGCTCGGCGGGGATATGCCCACCGAAGGGAGGTGACAACTCCCGTAAGGTGGAGGTAAGTTGTGCCTCGCGTAGGCCCTATCCTGTCGTAGGGGTTCGCGAGAGGTATGGTTGGCGCACTCGACCGGAGCGGCCCAAGGAAGCTCCATTTGTGTGTTCGCGGCAAGGTTGGTCCAACTCCTGCGTGACGCGGCCGAGAGGGTCCCGCGCTGCCGCGTGCGGTGCCGGACCGATGTGCCCAACACCGCCGGCTGCCTGGTCATGGAACTCTGCTACTGCTCGGACACGTAGTTGTTAAGTGGAGGGAACACAAATACGGGGCTCTCTGGTGCCCTGTGAACCGTGCCAGTACACAAGACCGTTGTCCACGAGAGAGTAGTTCGGGACGGTTTTGCCACTCCGAAGGGTCGCGTGGATGTCGCGATAGTCGGGGCAGTGGCGGTACTGAGTGCGAAACTCATCGATCACCGAGTGGTGGACGGTGCTGACCGAGATGGAAGAGAGCTGGATGTGCTCCTGGTCGTGGTCAGGGCGTCGGGATAGGGCATCGGCGACCCGATTAGTCTCACCCTTGATGTGCTCAGTGGTGAAACTAAACTCGGATAGGTCGCGCCACCAGCGAGCCTGTCGAGGAGTGAGCTTCGGCTTTGTCAGAAACGCCTGGACAACAGAGTTGTCCGTGCACACCGTGAATGGTGCCCCGTGCAGGTAGTGACGCCAGTGCCGAGCGACATAAACTACTGTAAGAACCTCACGTTCATCAACGGTGTAGTTTATCTCGGTGGGCAGGAGTTGACGGGAGTAGAAGGCTATCGGACGATCACCTGAGCGATACTCGACAGTGCCGTCCTCGGCGATGGTAGGAGAAATACAATAGAAGGCTTGTCAGTAGTTGGACGAGTAGGCGTCAGTCGGGAAGCAGTGGTAGGGGTAGGTGGTGAGAAGCGAGGGATACGAGGATGAGAGGAATCAGGAGAGGAGGGGAAGACCTGAGAAAGCACTGCTCCTACAGCAAAGTCTGACGCATCGGTGGTAAGGATAAAAGGGCGATTGAAATCGGGTAGGTGAAGAACCGGTGCACATATCACCGCCTTCTTGAGGGCGCGGAAGCCGTCCTCGTGGAGGGGTGTCCAACCCCATGGTGGGTTCTTCCGGAGGAGGGTGGAGGTAAGGACGTAGGAATGCCTAGCGTATCCCCAGATGAAATTACTATAGTAGCTGGTTAGGCCTAGGAAGCTGCGAAGCTGCTTGGCGGATGTGGGGGCGGGCCACTCCGCAATAGCAGTGATCTTCGCGTCGTCCATGTGGAGACCCTGGTTAGACACGTAGTGTCCTAAGAAATCCACTTTGTGTTGGGCAAAGCGCCACTTGCTCAGCTTGGCGTAGAAGCCATGTCTGCGCAAGCGGTCAAGGACGTCGCGAAGGTGTCTGAGGTGCTCCTCAAGGGTACGACTGTAGACCAGGATATCGTCGAGGTAGACGAGAACGTACTGCTCCAGGATGTCCCTGAAGATGTCGTTCATCGCCCTCTGAAAGGTAGCGGGTGCGTTGGTGAGGCCGAATGACATCACTGTGAACTCGTAGTGGCCGAAGTGCGATCGGAACGCGGTCTTCGGCTGGTCGGCTGCAGCAACGCGGATCTTATGGTAACCGCTACGAAGATCAATCTTCGTAAAGAAGCGGTTGCCTGCTAGGCGGTCGAACAGCTCATCGGAACGAGGCATAGGGTAGCGGTTTTTGACCGTGTGGCGGTTGAGACCGCGGTAGTCGATGCAGAGACGAAGAGTTCCATCCGCTTTGCGAGCAAAGAGGACGGGTGCACCCCACGGGGAGTTGCTGGGTTTAATGAAACCCAGTCTCAGGAGCTCCTCAAGTTGACGCTTGAGTTCGGTGGCCTCGGGGATCGAGAGTCTGTAGGGTGCCTGGTGGTGAACACGATAGTCAGACACAAGCTGAATGGAGTGCTCGACGTCACGCATCGGTGGGATGCCGGCATACGAGAACGACGATGGAAAAATGTCGTGGTACTCTCGGATGAGGTCACAAACTGCGGGCTCCAGGTCAGCCGTATATCGTGCGAGTTCCTCAGCGTCAGCGTCAGCGCGCGACGGCGGGGTGGACTCGACGAACGGCGGAGGGACGGAAGTAGAGATGGGAGTCATGGAGATAGAAGGAGGATCTGACTCTAGAGGGATGAGCTCGGCGTCGAGACAGGGTGGATCATAGTGTAAGAGATCCGCCACGTTCACCATAAAGAAGGCAACGTCGTCCTGTCGGATGAAGTGGGCGAACTGTCGAGGCGAGGTGACAATGATAGAAGGAGATGGTGTGGGCACGGAAGGCTCCGGGGGAGGAGGATTGGGGCGTGGTGTCGTAGTGGTACCTATGAAAGGTACGCGATACGTCTGTCCACACTTCGTTTTAAGAACGAGAGTGTTAGTCGCCCAATCGGTCTCGGTGCTGCGGAACCGACGAGACCACGGACTGCCGAGAATGAAGTCGTACCCCATCTCCATCACATCAAAATGTGCGGAGGAGCGGTGACGACGAGACTCCGGGGAACGATCAGTCAGCTCGAGAGTGAGCAAGAAAGGGAGGTTGGTGACCGTCTGATCGAAGAAGCGCTGGGTCTTGTCATCCCCTAGGGTAACGGAGATGGGAGTTGGAGACCCTGTCGTGGGTAAGCGGACTTCTTTCACCACGCGTGGGTGAATGAAGTCGCCCTGAGAACCGGAATCCCACAACGCTGAGTACACCCTCGTGGAGGTCCCGAGTCGTACTGGGATGATCGGGAGGGTGCGATCAGGGTCTGAGAGGATGGTGAGAAGGCGACGCAGTGCAGCGACATGGAGGGCGAGTCGCTCCTGACGAGCGTGGAGCATGCTCAAGTCCAAAAGAGAGGACACAACGTCCTCGAGAGTAGCGAGCTGCTCGCTGCAACGGGCTGAGCGAATGGCTCGACGCGTAGGTAGTCGCGGCGGGGAAGGAGGGGAGACGGTGGTCTGCGGAGGCGCAGACGGTACTGCGACAAAGGGCTGAGTACACTCTGTCGAGTCCTGCGATACCTCAACTCCAGTAGTGAGAGGGGCGAACCGCGACGGAGATGTCGGGAAGCCCACTACTGAGGGGGGCGCAGGTGTACACTGCACCGTGGCTAGGAGGCGTCGTGGGGATGCGAGTCATCGGCGGGGGACTGAGCACGACGCTGGCGGGAAAGGTCAGCGTAGTGGCGGTCAAGGGTGGTGGTGTAAGGGCACCGCGAGGAGGTATGACCATCCTGACGGCATCGCAAACATCCACGTCGACCCAAAATAGTCGCGCGCTCCTCAGCGGAAAGGACACCGTGAGGAGGGACAAAGCCCTGAGGGAGGTCCTGCTGAGGGACCTCGGGGGGCGACGCGCCAGTGTGACCAGGGCGGCTGCGTGCCCGGGAAAGGGTGGAGAGGATGAGCTGGAGGCGCTCAGCCATAGAGAGAGTAGGGTTCTCCAGGTGGTGCTGGACGGCCTCGCCAAGGTTGAGGTCGTCGCTATGGTCACCCTCTGGCGACAGCGGGGCACCAGCATCCTGCTCACCATACTCTAGTGCGCTGAAGCGGCGCGAGAAGTGGCGGCCCTGCTGCGCGGAACGGCGGGGGCGACCGCGGAAAGGGGAACGACGCTGGGAAGTGTCGTGAGAGGAGGAGAAGGCATAACCAGTACACTGTGGCTGGGAGGAGGAGTCAGGGTGAAGACGGACCCGCATTCGCTGATGGTCCCTGGCGGCCTCGTAAGCCTGCGGGGCCGATGTGAACTCGTACCGCCATAGCTCGGAGCGGTACTCGAGCGGAAGACTGGCCAAGAAACAATCGATAAGGGCCGCCTCGGGGAGGAACGCCATGTCACAAATGAGGCGGGCGTCCTGAAAGACTTGGATGTGGCGATCCAGGCCGGCAGCGCCACCAGAGTCGGACCAACGTGTAGTGACGACATGCTCGAAGGCGTCAGTCACGTCATATCGGGCTATGAAGCGATCCTCGAGGAACGCCTGAAAATCCATGAAGGTCGGAGTCCGACCCGCACGAACGGAGTAAGCGTAGAAATCCTCCCAGGCGTCGGAAGGACCGCCACGCAGGCGCGTGGAGAGGTGAGCCACCCACGTGTCGGGTGCGGCACCCGTGAGCTGGAGCGTGCGGGTGGCGAACTGTAGCCACCGGGACACGTGTATGCCTGTACCGTCATACAAGGCAATGTCCGTCAAGCGGACGAGTGGTGTGCCACCGTTTTGACGGCGAGGAGAACGGAAAGTAGGGGACTGCGCTACGGCTGAATAAGTCGGCGCAGGTCTTGGAGGAGGAGGCGCAACTGCCTGTATGTCCGGGCCGCATAGTGGAGCGGCGGGGGAAACAGCGGTAGGCTGCACGGGAGCTGCGGTAGAAGAGGTCACAGCAACCGAGGGGATGGGGAGGAGGTAGGATGGGGATGGGTAGGGTGCAGGGCGAGGGAAGCGAGCCTGCATGGAAGGAAGAATAGAGGAAGAAGGGGGTGCACCGGAAGACGCGGCCACCTGCGAGGGTGGGGCGGCTGAAGGCGTGAGAGGGCGAGGGCGGTCCGCAGCTGGCCGATTTCGTCCTCGAGACCTCAAACGTAGGTCGAGCGAGGTGTGGCAGGGGGAGACGCACGAGCGGCGCGAGGCATCCCACAATGGGGAGAGCCAGATGGCGCTGTGGTCGTGCGAAGAGGAGGGAGAAGTGGGGCACCCGGAGAAGCTGCGACCATGGTAGTGGGTTGTGGTACCATGACCGTAGTGACCGGGGTCTGGGCGGGTGCGCCCGTAGACTGAGGAAGGACCTGACTCATGACGGCCGTCGTGCTAGGGGCGTGGACGGTCACCAAGATGGCCGGGTCGGGGGCAGCGGAGGAGGAAGCTCCACTGTGGCCACCCTGTCGGAGGACGGGGGACCCGGATTGGGAGCCAGGAGATGGAGGACACGCAGCGTCCTGGAATTGTTGCACGCCAGCGGCAAGGGTCGCCACCTGCGCCTGTAAGGGCGCGAGGGTCGCAAGTTGCGCCTGGATGGGCGCAAGGAGGGAGGTGAGGAGGGTGTGCAAATCCCCCTGAGGCTGGTGGCCCTGGTCCGTCGGCACGAGTGTGGAGCCCTGTGCCATGGTTGTCGCCGCGTCGGCGGCGTGTGACACACCGTCGGCTATGGGAAGGTGACGGGCCGGACTGGAGGGGGCCAAGAGAGGTCCGCGTGAGCGAAGGGCGTAGGGGGGGGTCCACGGTAGAAAGCGGCGGACGACGCTAGCAAGCCTAGCGCGGGCGCCGTCAAACGGGGAGGGGTGGTTCGGGTCCAGGGTGCCCGAAGAGGAAGGGGAAATAGGGGGGTTTTGAAGAACCCTAAACCCTAGAAAAACCTTAAGAAAACCCTAACCGAAGTGTAAGTGGTCAGGGTAGGGTACCGGTGACCTAATCAAGAAAATAAAATAACAAGCATAGAGGGGGGGAGGCGGGAGAAAAACAAATAAAAAGCGAGATTTTAAGAGAAAAAAAAAAAAAAAAAGTAATAAAATTAATTAAGAGAAGAAGTAAACAAAATGTGAAAAGAAAAATAATATTTATGTTTTTGAAATTTTCGGCAGCATTTCCCTACCCCCCATGGGGTCAAGAATGTGCCAAGGGGAAAGAAGAGACTAAGGTGAGCACACTAGGTTTCAAGATGCCGCAAATAAAAAGAGAATTTTCAAAAAATAAATAAAAAAATAAGAAATAAAGAAATAGATAAATAAATAAATAAGTAAATAAGTGGGTGAGGAGGTAGGGAAAAATGAAGTATGCAGCATTTCGTTACCCCCATGGGGTCGAAGTGTGCCGAGAATACTAAGTAAGGGAAAATCAGAAAATTTCGGCAGCACTTCGTTACTCCCACGGGGTCAAAATGTGTGCCGAAAGCAAGAAAGACTAACACCTAATCAAATTTAGGGTTACCGTAAAGAAAATCGAATTTTCAGAATAAATAGAAAAATAAATAAAATAAATCAAAAAATGAGAAAAGGTGGGAAAGAAGATGTTTCGATTTTTTTTGGAAAAAAGAGAAAATATAAATCAAAAGGGAGATAGAAAAGAGGAAAACAGAAAAGTTCAAAGTAGGGGGGGAAGGGGGGATGAGAAAGTGATGGAGAGAAGAAAGAAATAGGTGGGAGAGGAAAAAGATGGAAGTGGAAGGTGGGGGGATGATGTGGTGGCAGTTAGGGGAGAGGAGGGTGAGAGAATGAGAGAGAAAGAGGATGGGAAAGATGGAGAGTGATCAAGGAACTAAGAGGAAAGAAGGAGGAGAGAAAAGAAAAGAAATGAAGAAAAGAGGGTAAGATAGTGGTTAGTGGAAGAAAAGGTGGGGTGGGGAAGGTAAAAAGAGGAGGGGAGAGAGGCAGTGGAAAGTGGGGGAAAGAAAAGGGGAGAGAAAGATGGTACCTGGCCCTTGGTGTCTCCAAGGGCACAAGGTATACCAAGACCAGGAGGGTCTTGGCCTCCGCTGCAGCCAACCAACTGGAGGATGTAAGGGGGGGGGGGCTGAGATCTTGATCAGCCCCTAGTTGCAGCACTGCAGATCCAGGGTGTGCTGTGTGAGCATACCCTGATGGATGATGATGATGATCTAGGGTTGGCTGAGATCTTGATCAGCCACCCTACTGCCACTGTCACACAGCCCCCTAGCCAGGGGGAAATCTTGAGCTGCTGCAAAGCTGCTGCTGCAGCAGTAGAGAGATAGTAAAAAAATAAATAATGATGCTGTGGCGCAGCCCCCTAACCAGGGGGGTCTTCACTCCACAGCAAAGTGCCACGTGGCACTGCAGGTGGCCACGTGCACAGGCAGCAGCA